TTCTAGATATAGAAGTTGATAGAGAAGATCCACTCATACTTGGGAGACCTTTCCTCATAATAAGTAGAGCATTAATTGATGTGCAGGGTGGTAAGTTAACATTGTGAGTTGGGACAAACAAGTAACTTTTAATATTTTTCATGCCTCATAAATTTCTTTAGACGCTGATGAATGTTTTAATACTGATATAATTAATGAGTATGTGTCCAAAAGGCTCACCAAGATAGAAAAAGACCTTGATGGCAAGGAAGCAACCAAATCAAATAAAGAGAGTGATCAAAAAGATGATAGGGCAAGACAAGAAGAATTGAAAAAGAGTATGCATATTTGGAGGGGAATATTGAGACGTTGAGATCCACCCTAGCCCCGCTTAAGTCATCTGCTGCAAAGTCAAGCTAACCAATATAAACAGAGCACTAATTGTGAGGCAACCCAATATAGATGGTATTAGACAGATAAGTACAATTTTTTTTTTTCATTTGATAGAATCCTAGATTTTTTTATTCATTTATTTTTCTTTTATTTATTAGTTTATTTTTCTTTACACATCTCTCTTCTACTTTATAATTGTTTTACTAATGCTTGTGGATTCTTAATTGAGGTCTAGCCAATATGCTTTTCGATGTTGATGATATCTGCATTGCATTAGAACAGTTCTCAGGCAAAATTCTAGTTATCACTTTTGTAATAGGCTACATGAGCACACACAAGGGGAGTATTTTATTTTTTCACTGTTTTATTTTTATTTTCTTTGGCATAATGTGTTTATAAACAGTGGTGACACTGTTTGAAATAAGTTTGGTTGTATTGGGTCATTAGAGTTTAAATTGTCATTTTTTTTAATTTTATCTTATCTTTTTTTTATACACTAAAGGGCTAAGCTTTTCACCATAGCTAGTGAAGCAGGGTGGAATTGAGATTTTTTTCTAACTAAGATTGTAATTATTTTAAATATATATATATAATATATTTGCAAATAATAATTAGAATAATTAGCAATTATTTTTCTTAACTTAATCGGTATAAAGACAATTGCATAGAAACCTAATCTAAGGCATTACACTTGTGACATAAAAAATGTGAGTTTAATTTTTACCTTTTAGCTAGTTATAAATTAAAGTTTAAGTGAATAAAATATATTAACTAACATGTGACCGGTGGGATGAAGTAAAAAAAAAAAAGTACTTTAAGTAAAATGGTGAGATGAAGCGTAAAATGCATTCACCTGCAAAAATATATTTGAGATAAAGTATGAGATGGAGTATAAACGCACTTTCAAAGAAAAAAATTATGAAAATATATATGTATATATATAATAAATTTTGTTAAGTTCACTCCCTTGGTTGAAGTAGCAAAAAGTTAAGTTAAACAAACTATAATTTATGAGTCAAGAGTAGAGGAACTTATATGTTAAAATTATGCAAATTTTGTAGGGTGATATAAGAGCTAATAATCTGTTTTTATTTTGCATAATTCTTTTTGAGTTTTCAACTAACTAATAATTACAAGAAAGTAGTAGATTTTTAATACTATCAAGCTAAATAGATTAACGTGGTGGAAAAATTTGTTTTTAAGTTTTTTTTTTTTCAGTCTTTTGCTTGAAGACAAGAAAAAATTTAAATTTGTGGGTATTTGATGTATTGTATTTTTATAATATTTTTAGTATCCTTTTTACTTAAAATTGAAATAATTTTTGCATAATTTTGAGTTAAAAATAAATAAATTAATAAGATTGTAACGCAGGTGATATTGATGAAGAAAGGAGAAAAAAAATGGTTGAAGATTAAAAAAGAAAATAGAAAGAAGCCCAACAGATTCGTGAAATCCAGCCTAGACCCGTAGCAACACTCAAAACGATGTCATTTTGAGTTTGGGAATCAGACTCCAAAATGGTGTTGTTTTGAAGAATGAGAAAAAAAAAATTATAGAACACAAAAAAAAAAAAAAGAAAAGAAGAAGTAGCAGAAGAGAAAAAGAGAGTTGAAGAGGAAAAAAGAGTTTAAAAAAAAACTTTATATCCCCTCTTACAGTAGCCTATTAAAAGGAGAAAAGAAAAAAAAAAAAAGGGAAGAAGAGGACATTTATAGAGGGAGACGAAAGATCGAGAGATGCAAGCTGATATAGATATGATGCGGAAGCGGTAGAAACGCAGCTGCGAGCTTGGGACCAAACGATGAGCCTGACAGAGACATAGAGAAGAAGCAAAAAAGTAGAAAACTTGGAAAGATTAAAAATTATTAATTGATAGACCTAAAGAATACTAGGAAGGAAACCGAAAGTATATTAACATAGTTCGACCATTACATATTAAATTAAATTGATTGTGAAATTAAAATTCAAATATACCCAAAATTTAGATGAAATCAATTATTCTGGTGCTTCTCCGTTGATAGTTTCTATATTTTAAATTGTTTTGCTTTGATTAATTTTTTTTTTAATTTTTCATATAGAAATTTAATTTTGATTTCTAAATAATATTAAAATTTTCTATAATTTTGTTACTCGGTGTGCAATCTCTATGAGATAATACTTTATTCATCACTTTATCATTATGAACGATTTCATGCACTTGCAAACTTTTACGTCATGTGTTCTCCTACATTTTAGGATGCTTGGTCGAGAGTTAGAGATGGAAGAGAGTCTCATCTGAGAGGGAAACTCTCCCCCATGTGAGTTTTTCTCAACTCTCACTCTCTTGGTGGAGTTAGGGCACATGAGTCCTAAATTAATTAGGATTTACGACAAGAATGTTTCAAAAATGCCAAAATCTATTCTCTTGAGTTCTAATTGGTTTTTTTTTTCTTCATCAATTAATATTTTAAAGGTGTTGGATTCATTGTTGATAGAGGAAAACGCAAGGGAAGTTAAATTATTATCGTAGCCAAAATTCTTCCTTGATTTTCTCATAGAAGACTTGTTTTCTACTTCAATTTAGAAGCTACTAAGGCATTGTCAACACAACTTCTTTATAAAAAATTAATTGATTATTGAAGTCCAAATCTGATCAAGATAAAGAGGAATAATTCAGCCATAACTAGAATTCCCGTCCAAGAGAGATTTTTATTCCTTCTATGTTTATGAGTCTTTTATTTAATTTTTAATTAGAATCCTAGACAAGATCGTATTTAGAGTTTTTTCTAGGATTTAGTTTTCAATTTTTACTCAGATTACTAATGCTTATGTTTATATAAAGGCCTCATTAGTTAGGTTATAACACATTAACCCAAGTCAATAAAATTTTAGGTGTGTTTCAAGCTTTAGTGATGGTGCCTTAAACAACATCATTATCATTTACTTTTGGATTGTTAAACCTGATAGTATGTTATCTAATATGAGATATTGATCTTGATAGTGTTCTTAAAACGATATCATTATCACCTACTTTATTGTAGGAGAGAATATAAGAATGAAACGAGAAAAAATAATGCGAAAAGAGGAAGAGTTCGCGAAAAGAGTTATAAGCCTATAAACAAGGCTTGGGCAAGGCTTAGGTCCTGCCCTAGATAACTTAGCCTAGGGCAAGGCTAAGAGTTATGCATAACAATAAATTTAAATTAAAACGTGTTTTTTAAATTTGAAAATAGGTATCATTTCAGCCAAGTTCTAGGGTTGAAAATCAAGAAAAAAATATTTTGAAAGGCTGGGGATAAACCAAAAATCAAAGAAAATGATCCCAATGAACAAAAAAAGAAAACTCTAGCTCATTTTCTATAAAGAGGGCGGCTCTCAAGTAGGATGATCATATTTCTTCTGCCTGACGCTGTGCAAAGCATATTTTCCTATTACTGCACTTTTTTCTTCTTCATATCTCTTCTCTCTTTTAATCCCCAAGAACTCTTTTGTCTTGAAAAGCCCACCATGTGTGGCTAACTCTCTTTCTTTTTTTTAGTTGATAGATCTAGTAACTTTAGCAATGTATTTGTGAGATTTAATCGAATTAATTTGAGTTTTATTTCAGATATGATATTTATTTACTTTCTGCACCTATATATATTTGTTGTTTTGAATATGTTGGAACATGGTCCGTCATACATGAAGAAAAACCACAAGCAGCTAGCCAAACTCCTCAAATCCGTAATTGTTTGAGTGGTTCTAGTACCAAGTAGCAATCAGTGTCGCACTGAGAAAGTAAGTAATCTAGTTGATTGGTTCATGTGGATGAACCTGACAAATTAAATCAGGTCCTTCTAGCTCTCAATGCCGTTGACGAATTAAATTATGTGGACATTCCTAGGACTTCTTGGCAGGGAAGAATCAACTAACGAACGTTTCTTAGTTTGTTTAGGAATAAGAAATGATTAATTGCTAAAACGTTTCTGACAACTATAACAAATTTGCCATGTTTTGAGTAAAATAAATTTTTTCATTTATGATCAATTACGTTATTGGAGTTAGCTATTTCATCAATTAAGAATCTTTTTTATAATTGTTTTAGTCAACTTGCAGCCAAGAGTCTGTTTAATATTATTCTGCTCATTATTTATTTTATATTTTGTAGATTGAATTCTACAAAACTTCCCATTGTTTGTTTTTTATTTATTGATCAATAAAGAAAATTTCGTTCCAATTCTCTATAAATTCGACAATTCTTACCACTACTACAATATTGTTTTATTGGTTAATTAGAAATTTATTTTTGGTAAATTCAACACTCTGCAATTTAACTTTGAACTAATGTGAGTGCTTTTTAAGATATTTTTTTCAACAATCTTGTTGAGTGAAGAATTATTTTTATTTATCGAAGTAATATCGTGGCATCTTATAATTCTTATTCTTTTTTAAGTTACCTCATTTGCAA